ATGGTGCTGGAGTCAAACCATATGAGTTTAAAAAAGACTTGTAACCCTTTGACTGAATGCAGCCTCATGTGTGCAAATAATGACACTGCTGACCATCTGCACCCAGCAAAATGAAATCTGTGTCCGGGCACTTTGGCGTAGTGGGCTGTAGCTTGCTGTACAATTTCTACCTCTCATGTTGTTCTCGCAGCCTTGTGTGGACAAATGTACCTAATGACTAAACCTTGTCCTTTGTGAAGTCCCACGAGCTCCAGCAAACAGCGCTAATGCCTCCTGGTACCATTGGTAAGTGAGTGAGTTCCCTGTGTAAAAGTGTGTGTGTGTGTGTGTCTGGGCTTTGTCCACATTCCTCCGCACTATTCCAGCAAACACTTAGTCAGTACCTCAGTGGAAACCGCAGTCCTTTATAGGAAACATAGATCAACACGACATCTTTGTCAAATATAATTGGTGCCTTTACAAATTCCCTCTAATTGCCTGTCAAAATGTCAGACTCTTTGTTTTTTTTCTTTGAATGTTTCAGAATGTTTTTGAGATAAAACGTGATTATTGTCTGCTTGTCTGTCTTAGATAGACGTGAAAGCTGGAGGAATAGCAAGTGGAATGTCTTGCAACCCAGTGATGCCAGTCAGTCCTGCATGTGTGGAATTGTTCTCAATAGGGAGTTATGCCAACTTAAAGAGTAATGATTGCCTAAAACACAACAGAACAATTACAATTACATTCTTAGTACACATTTACAAATTTTACTTGTTTGTTCTTCGAAGTTGGTTTACCATCTTCACTGATTTTTGTTTTGTTTTTGGAAGTTGTCTAACATTTGGTGCCACCAGATTCAAGCCTTAATTGGGGTTAACTCAATGGCTGTGACAGTAAGGGTGGAGATATGGACCAGACATAGCTTTAGTTGTGGGGTGGCGTCGTTAGCAGGGAGGTTGTGAATTAACAGTTCTCTAGCGACTCCCTCTGGTGGAATAGACCCCCGACAAGGCAAAATTGACGGCGACAGTTTGCGACCATTGTCGCATCTCGTTGTCTGGCTGTGTAGAAAAAATGCTTGTTGAAATGCTTATTTTTATGATTGGAAAGATTTCTGGGTTGGGTCTGGGTGCATAGGAATAGGGTAAAAATCATGAAACATTATCAGAAATGGTATAAATGAGATTTCTGCCTCACATCCCAGAAAGATTGTTATTAGTGACTTACCTTTACTGTTCACCTCTTTGCCATCAAGATGGCAGGTAGTTTGAATCTCCTGACGGCGAAAGATAGAGCCTGGTGCCTGATATCTGTTAGAAATGCACTAATACCACTTCAGTTCAAACATAACCCACCAGTATTATAATATGCCGTTTGATATGATTTGGCCCCTTTCGGTTTACAAAACTAACAGAAACTGAGAAGCTCTTTTCATCTGTAACAAAGACTAAGTGAAGTCACAGGACTTGGCGCTTCAGAGAGCTTCTAACTTTAGTTTTTAATTTTAATGACTCTATAAATATTTACGGGAAAGGTTTGCGAAGAGGGTAAAATATAAATGAGGCTTTTATTTGTAAGTCGCTGATGTTATAATATGCTCTTTCCATTTTTCGTCACGGCGTCTGCTATTTTGTGTGTGTGTGTATATAAACATGTGTCGGTTCGCTTGCTTGTTTGTTTGCTTCCTTGATATGACCTGTATGACTATATCCCTCTGAATGGGTTTTAATTATTCAGATTGTTTGTGTCATCAAGCATTCTCATAGACACAACCACTAGCCCAGAACCGGGCCTCATGTCGGAGCCGCCGAAGGCTTAACTTGCCCTCTATTAAAGATTTACACTCTTCACCAGGGGGAGTTATTAAACCCCAGAGCCCCACTTTGTGACGCTCGCTTCCAGCTCGATTTGTAGCATTGTGCCGGGATTAAAGGAGGTTCATTGAAAGGTCTTTTAGCGATTCCGGATGACTGATCTTTCTCCGGACCCTTTGATATGCAAGCTAAGAATGCCAGTCTGCTCTCTCGCCCTTTCTCTTCGGCCAACAATTCCTCTCTCTCTCTTTCTTCCCCTGTCCAGCCTCCCTCTGGCCCCTGCTCGTGCCGTGTGCGGCTTGTTTAAGGGACACTTGGTGTAATTACGCCCTTTGATTATCCTCCAAACTGAACCCGTTGCCCCGGTGGGGAGAGAGCTGGACAGATTTCAGATAATACAGAACTGAGTGGCCTCGGTGCTTTTGTCAGGCTGAAGGAGAGTTGTACAATGTCCGTACGGCGCACACTGAGATGGCTCCTGACTGAGATATTATCTCAATGCCTATTGGATAGGAGAAACAAGGTCCCGGTTTCACAACCTATCTCGAGGTGTGTTATAGTGTGTGTGTGCGGGGGAACGGGGGTGGTTGAAGATATCTGAGAGTGGCTAGCTTAGGGCCAAGCTGTCGGTAACGAGTTAACAGGTGGCAAGTAGATTGACACGGGCGACAGATCCGCATCTGACGTTGATGGCCGACATTTCCACTCGTAATCTGGCCGCGAACATTCGCAAACAAACACTTTGGTTTCACCCCCTTCGGTGCCTGTCATGGCGGATCTGATTTGTCACCATGGCAATTATGTAATCCACGATCTCATTGAATGTGCCGCATTCATTTGGCTAAGATCAGCGGGCTCACTAAGCAGCCTTGCTGGGATGAATAACACGACTGTAGGGCTTTGTGTGCCCAAATGGGTTTGATATGTCATGGTTTTTCAATTTCCCACAGCGAGAAGCGCACAGTGGACTCGAAGCGGATTTGGCAGGAATGAATGATCATAAACCATAATCTATTTGTATTTTATCCCCCGAGGGCGGTTATCTAGTATTTAGAATTATAGTGCTTTTATTGTGTTTATTTATTTAACTGTCATTCGTTTATTAATGCATTTATGATGTTATGGGTGCGTTCGGTTCTGTCTCGGTTTGTCCTAACATGGTCTCACACAGACCTAGCAATTTCAAAAGCCACGTTCACACCGGAAACAGATTGAAGACAGCCATTACGAGGTGAGGTCACGTTCCATAGACATTTTTCAATCCTTTTATTTTAATCCGTTTCAGTGAGCAGATCAAGTCACAAGAGTGCTCCTTCAGAAGTCTTCTGTGTCTTTCCTGTCTGCGGTTCCACCTCAAAAATGGCTCGTGTCTTGTGGAGAGTACTTTTTGGATTCGCTCAACAGAAATGCCTTAATATTGGTGATACGTGGCAGTTGATTTTATATTGGTCTGGTAGAGTCTGAGTAGTTCAGAGTTGAAGGCTTTGCAAGGAGTGATAAATTAAACTGTTTTTTATTTAATTTTTATCCTTTATTTAACCAGGTAGGGCGATGAGAACATTTAAGCCCACATTAGTGAGTGGGTCTTTTATGGTGCTATCTATCTGGAGGCTGTGGTCCATTTGCCTTTTAGCAGGAAGGTGTTTTCTGTTGGCCTCACCCACCTCGTTCGGTCTACACCAGAACTTGTTTAAATTTAAATATACATTTTTCCAGATACCCTGTGCATTCTTATTGCGGTTGAAAACGCAGTCAGCGGTTCCTTATTTCCTCCACCAAATCATATACCCCCCATTAGCTAAAAAAATTATAATCCCCCTTCCCCCATTAACAAGATAAAGCGCCAGCACTCAGCCTGATCCTCCCAGCATTCCCAGCAGAGATAGGGGTCAACCCAGTGTCGGCGCAGCCATTATGAGGAGACAAGACGGTGGATACCAATAAAGCTTTCACCCTCCTGCCGTCTATCAGTATTTAAACCTATCGTACCCACATAACCGGCTCCACCCCCGGAATAATGAAGAGATGCAAACGAATCGTATGTCGCTACACTTAAACAAAAATCCTCTTTAGCATTATGGTATCAGTTACAAATATATTGTCATTTCTTCCGCTCCAGGCACAAGTCATTACAAAGGCGTTTGGACGTACAGCAAATGTACAACAAGCCCCGCCCCTCTATCTGGTTCTTTTCCCCAGTTCATCCTTCTCTTCCTCCTCCAGCACTTTTTCTCCTCCATCCATGCTGTTATATCCAGAGCATTTGACTCATGGAAAATCACGAACAACTACACGGTGTTCATTTTTTGTATCCCTAGTAAACACTAGTGTCGGGAGGAGACTTCGGGTTGGCCGAGGCAGCAGGCGTTCATTATTTTGGCAACGCCGCCGAGCGAAAAGAACATTTGAGGGGATGGGCGGGGCCATGTGACCCAAACGCTATCCGGCAGATATTTAGAGGGGGAGATATTACTTCTCATTACGAATACATTAAATCACAGTGGAGAAATGGCAGGGCTCATTTTTCTCCTCAACGTTCTTCAATGTGCTTCAGTTCTGGGCCCAAAGCCAAGTTTTAAGTTGAATTAGTTTCCATTAGTCGACGGTAACCATTATCAGAAACCTGGGATTTCTTTTCCCCCACTCTGTTTTATCCAGTTGAGATTTTGCTCAGTTTTCCTCAATTTTTTTATGTTATCTTTCTCTGTCATTCTAATTTCAAGGCCACTGATAACGTCTGACTACATCACCACTTTATCTGTTGCATTTTTGTTTTTAGGTTCACATATGGAACTGAGGTAAGCTGTCCAGGATGTTGCTCTAACCTCAGAGATCCAACTTCAGAGAATCAGAAGTTTCAAAAAGTTTCAAATTCTTAGCTGCAAGTCTGGCCCCTGTTCTGCTTAAGTTGGTTTTTAATATTATTTTGTACTGGCCATCGCGAAAGCACTTAATTCATTGTTGTAAAAGATCTTTCTTTTGGAAATGCCTAATTTAAATCAGGGAAATTAAAGCGGAATAGGTTATTTGATAATTCAAATATTATAAAGTACTTGGCACACCAAACGTACAGTTATTCAACCTTTAAATTCATGTCATGTCCCAAAGCACCAAAAGGAATTTAAACAGACTAAAACAGGGACTATTTTTTAATTTTGAATTTATCCTTTATTTAACCATGTAGGCCGATTGAGAACAGGCAACCTGGGGAGAAGCTTGGGATTAAACCCAGGACATTATACGTACATACCAAGCATGCACTCTACCACTGAGCTACACCAACATGCACTCTACTACTGAGCTACACCAACATCCACTCTACCACTGAGCTACACCAACATGCACTCTACCACTGAGCTACACCAACATGCACTCTACCACTGAGCTACACCAACATGCACTCTACCACTGAGCTACACCAACATGCACTCTACCACTGAGCTACACCAACATGCACTCTACCACTGAGCTACACCAACATGCACTCTACCACTGAGCTACACCAACATGCACTCTACCACTGAGCTACACCAACATGCACTCTACCACTGAGCTACACCAACATGCACTCTACCACTGAGCTACACCAACATGCACTCTACCACTGAGCTACACCAACATGCACTCTACCACTGAGCTACACCAACATGCACTCTACCACTGAGCTACACCAACATGCACTCTACCACTGAGCTACACCAACATGCACTCTACCACTGAGCTACACCAACATGCACTCTAACAGTGAGCTACACCAACATGCACTCTACCACTGAGCTACACCAACATGCACTCTACCACTGAGCTACACCAACATGCACTCTACCACTGAGCTACACCAACATGCACTCTACCACTGAGCTACACCAACATGCACTCTACCACTGAGCTACACCAACATGCACTCTAACAGTGAGCTACACCAACATGCACTCTACCACTGAGCTACACCAACATGCACTCTACCACTGAGCTACACCAACATGCACTCTACCACTGAGCTACACCAACATGCACTCTACCAGTGAGCTACACCAACATGCACTCTACCACTGAGCTCAACTGGTTCCGTAGCAAAATGGTTAAATACGCTATGGCTGAATAATGAAAAGGAGTTTGATTTAATAACTGCAATAAAGGGAGCAAATTGGCCCCACTTGGCAAATCCAACAGTGTTAATAGACAATCATAGGACAATCATGAAAATGTCAGATAGTTACTTAAAAGTTCATTCTAAGGTTGAACTGCCTGTTCCGGAGCCAGACAGAGCCCTACTGGGTATCAGTAACTCTCTCTGTGGGAGCACACACTCACACTGTCTCTGTATCGTTTACCCATAAAATAAGTTACATTTTTAAAGTCCAATGCAATTTAAGTGAGATGGCGACAAATTACCTTTTGAAACGTTCTGGACCGAGGGATGGGAGGGTTTTTCTCTGGCGACATACTTTCACTCGGCGAGGCACCAGTTGCAAAGATGCTCACTCATCCATCCCCCTTCGGATTTGCAACAGAGCCTTGAAAGAAAGTGCTTGAATTTACTCCTCGCATTTCTCAAGAAAATGTTCATCTTCCAGAAAAGTACATGAGGCATCCGTTTTTCCCTCCACCGCCACTTCGTTCCCCAACCAAACTTTTTCTCTCTTTCTCTCTCTGTTGCTGCTCCTGTACTTTTGAACTTTATCCCGCTTAAAATTGGACCTGTGCCGTCTGAAGTCCAGCCGGGCCAGAAGAAACTGTGTTGTGTCTGTGAGAGAGAGAGAATTAGGGCCTCATCGTTCACACTCTCTCTCGCTCTGTCCAGCCAAGTGGAAATGAACAGAGCGAAAGAATGAGACCGACAGGGGAATAGAAAACGAGAGTTATAGGAGAAAAGATTAAGGCTGTTACAGCACCAGTGGCCCCCTGCCTCCGAACCAGATAACCCCCAGAAGGCTTTGCACTAATGAGCCAAAACGTTATGCCATTTATGTGGACGTCAATTTGACACGTGCCACCTACCTAAACACTGTTAGCGCCCACGTCCACCTCTTCATGACAATGGAATTTGCCGTTTGTCTTATTTCAGCGAGATAATGCGCCCTGCCACACTGCACACATTGTTTGGGAATGGTTTGAGGAACACAACGAAGAGTTCAAGGTTTTTCCCTGGCCTCCGAATTCCCCAGATCTCAATCCGATTGAGCGTCTGTGGCACGTGCTGGACCAAGTCCAATCCAGGGCGGCTCCATCTCACCACTTACAGGACTTGAAGGATCTGCTGCCAATGTCTCGATGTCACCTTCAGGGGTCCCTGCCGAGTCCGTGACGGGTCGGCGCTGTTTCAGCAGTCCGCAGACAGCATGTTTTGGCTCATCAGTGTATTTCCAACCATCTCCAATCTGCCTAGACTATTTCTCTCCCTTGATGACTCTCTTTTCCTTTCTCCATATGCCAATTCTCTACTTCCTTTCCCTCCGTTTATCCCGGTGTTCTCTCTCTCTATCATGCATGCTTAGTTTCCTTCCCTCATTTTGATGGGCGTTATTGTTACGCGAATATGTATACGTGCGTTACTGAAATGTTTGCCCGTGAGTCGGCAGCTTTTGGCGCTCGTGTTCGCGTGCTCATGAGACCCTAACAAGCCCACGGCAATCACATTTTTACCGCCCCAGCATTGCAGAGGCACAGCTCATACCGTTGTCGTTCTCTTTGATATCAGGAGCTTCATGCGCCGGGGAGAGCGAAAGGCGTGACGGCTGTTTTTCCCGGTGGCCGTCAGACAGACTGAGCGAGAGGGGGAGCGGCAGAGGAGAAAGAGGAAACGGCGAGGAAGATGGAAAAACTGACACGGGCTGAGAGGGAGGATATATTTAGAGAAAGAGAGAGGGCTAAGAATGAGGAAAGCAGAAGAGAGAGAGAGAGGCTGACTGAGAGAGGCGGACTGAGAGAGGCTGTTTAAGCGCCAGAGACTCGGGGGAAATACCCTTTGCAATATTGCGACCAGCCGGGTTCTGCCACCCTGCCCCACACAATTACAATATATCTGACAAAGATATCGAGCGCAGACATCCCTTGCCATTTCGGTTGATGCGCTGGCCGCTGAGCGGCTGGGTTTTATATAAAAGTACCAAAAATGGCATTAATAATGTCTTATTGAAAAGAGAACGCCTGACCAACAGGCCGGGGCGAGATTAACAACCCGTCCAGGGTTAGATCTTGTCTCTGTCTTTCTCAGGTGTGGGTTTGGATGAACTGTGTTGTTCCGCCTGTCTTATTACTCACTGGGACAGAATAAAAATGAAGATGGCGAACGGGTTGTTGCCTTGACAATTGGTAATATAGAATGAGGAAAATGTATGTGTCCGTGGAAACCGAAACGGGGTTTGACGAAAGCACGTGTCACTTCCTATCCTGTCCTCTCCGGCTGTTCTTGTCTGTTTGCACGGCAACCTTTCCAGTCACGCCACCTCTGACGTGGACTTTCCGTGGCCTTCAGAGGAGGTCTCCGGTTCGTGCGAAGCCATCCGGATCTGGAAGAGACATATCCGGGGGTAGGAGACAAGGCAACCTGTCCACGTCAGCACGTATCTACCCTCTGCCACTAGTGCCGACCGAGACACTCTGGTGATGATGTCCAGGCAGACAGCTGCTGTGGAGCTGAGGTAGTGTCCCTCCCTTGGCTGTGACACTCTGTTTGTGACAGACTTCTGGAGGTCCAGAGGTCGTGTTTCTCGGTTTTAGATCTGTTTCTTTTTGCGTAGCAAAATTTTATGCTTTTTATTGACGGAGGAAATGAGAGTGAGAGTGGAGCATTGAAATACTGTTGCCCTGGAATTATGTCAATCTTGCTGCAGTATATGTTTACCAGAGGCAGAATCTTAGACCATTCTAGGTCATGATTTCAGAGGTTTGTGCACCTGCCTTTTCTACTATTTTACTGCTATTGCTAATAATAATAAGTAATAGTACTGCAACTATTAATGCTACAACTATGCCAACTGTTGTTACTACTACTTCTGTTTGTTCTCCTCTGACCCCAGGGGGGCGGAATAATTTGTCCAAACCTGACATTATAAGCCTGATTGCTTTAGTTGACACTATAAAGCTCAACTGCTGTTGTCTTCTGTGAATATGTCACCTTTCTAATACCATGTCACACTTTGCTAAAACCAAAAACCTTGGGGCACACCAACATGACATAAATCTAGTTTCGTATGTATTGTCTAACCTGAATGGCAACTGGTTGCTGAAACGCGCACGTGGTGGGTCGAAATGTTCGTAGAAGGAAAAATGTGTGAAGTTCAAGGACCGGCCTTTAAGTGGCATGGTAAATAGGAAACAGACATATTAAATACTCTATACACATTTAATTAGTGCAGGCGAAGTAGCTTAACTGAGAGAGGCTGTGGATTGAACGTGTCTCGGATCCAATCATACCATTCATGTTATGGTGCTGGCACAACCGATGCCAGAAGGAACATCTTCAAGGACCCCTCATTTACTGTCTCTTGCCAAATGCTCAACTTGGACCGTAAACCCTGGATGTTGTCAGTAACTGTCAGGATGCTCTCATTTCCTACCTGCATTTTAATTGGGCTCATTAGATGGCTGAACATGTCTTCAAGGTGAGCGAGGTTTACCCTGCTTTTATCACTGGACTCATCCGCAGGTCAAACTTTTTCACTTTTCCTGAGCTTCTCCGGCATGGTCCCCTTGATGTCAGCGGACATGTCATCGATTCTTCTTTTAACTTTGTTGTCTGAAACAGGAGGTTTGGCAAATTCTCGAAATAGCACACATTAAATGTGCTTACAAGCAGGGATGTTTGGTGTCTCTTTGCTTTGGCCACAGGATTTCTACCAGGTAGCTGACCACTTGCGCTATATCTGATGCCATCTAAGATAAGGGTGTTTTGTAGTCTCATCGTACTAGGTACAATTGCTGCGTTAGCAGGTTTCTCCCTGGAGTAAAAACACACACCGGTTGAGGGCAAGTTTGGGGCAATCTCCTGTCCATGAAACTCCTGGCATCAGATAGGAGTCACTATTCTGACTGATCTGCAGCTATACGCAGCCCCACACACAGCAGGGTGCAATGCATCGTGTGATATGACACATTCCTGAGGTAACTATCTTGTGCCAATGTAATCTTTCTGTCCATTCAGGCCAGACTTTGTTGTCCTTGTATATCACATTGGACACCCAACCCAATGTCACTGGTGTTTGGTTTGTCCCTGCTGAACCCCTGTTGGTAGGTACTCAACACTGCTGACTAAGAGCACCCCACAAACCGTGCCTTTTC